TGAGGGTAGAGTTGAAACTCAATTGCAAAGTTGTGGTAGCCTGACTTTAGTATGAACATAACATTAAATACATGTAAGTAGTTATTTTCATCAGAACTAAAGGCGTATAATAAGATTTTAATCTACTTTGTACGCTGCGCTACATTACTATTCATGATACGCTGGAAGAATATTCTATAAATTAAAATAAAATTTAAGAAGCTAGGTGATAACTGCAATCATTGAGCAAATTGTAGAATACCCACTTAAATCTCACTACAATGAGACCACAAATATGGCACATATTTTGAAATAGTAAACGTGAATATGTATGTCAACAGAGAAGATATATAATTTGTTAATATAAAAAAAACATTGAAGTAAATGAAAATCTATAGGCAACTGAAAAAGCATAAAAGTTCCTATACACTTAATGAAAATACCATATTAGACATGCGTTTCCGCTAGTTGCTTGTACTTTGTGAAATTATGGAAATATACCTGCTTTTTTTGCGGGTTTATAATCCGCTAATAGTGGGCATTGTCCAGATATGACGGACACATCTTAATATTTTTTTCATCATACGACTCTTATGTTGAAGCGGTAAGGATCATAATAAATATCTACCAGGAAACATTACAATGGGCAAGAGTTGAGCCACCGGCGCATTGTGCCTTCCTAGGAAACGTCGTAAATCATATTTGTGTAAGAATTGAAGAAACACAAGTTTATCAGTGAACATTTATGAGTTATGCACAAGAGACATTGTGCAGTGTTCGGCTATTCGTTTTCGCAATTGTCGGTGCAGTTACTTACAATATGGCTTTGTTATTATTAATAACATGGATTTATTATTAGATCCAAACTTATATTACCTACACAGTACGCGGTCATACACCGAGGATCAAAGAAAAAAGATTTGATTCTAAGATAATGACAAGAAAGTTGAATCTAAACATCAATCTATTATCTAAGTTAAGTCAAGGCTCAAGCTGTCATCTTACACACAATAGTATGTATGGTATACCATAAACACCCAGACCATAGTCAGTATAATCAATAGGAGTGAAGACTGATTTTTTATCGTACCAATAAATGCGTAATCTTGGTCTCTAAACAACAAGGTTATATATTCGGTTATAACTCAACTAATGTCAAGAAAACAATCCGCCAATACAAACAGATTAACAAAAAGAAAACAATTAAAAAACAACAGACCCAACATTGAATATTATAAGGAATAATAATAAATGGAGTAAATTAGTGACAAGGTGATACTTCAAACAAGGTAAAAGAAAGTGAGGCAGACTTCTAAAAAGATGGGATAATGATATTAGTCACGTGATATATGCAATAGACTCGGGATTAAATCTGATTGAAAAATGTTGAAACATATCAAATACCTAAACAAAGTGAATGAAATTACCAATAAAGTTTTTGATAAGCCTTTGTCTATCCGAAGCCGAGTGCATCGCAAACCTTGCCATTATACAAGCTACTTAATTTTGGATCTGAGCGTGTATGTGATAAAGTCTAATATTTACTACATACACTACCTTCAAAAACATAAAGACACACTACCATGCATTTCACACTTCTGTTTACTAAGCATTAGTCTTTGATAAGACCAAGACACAAGATACTTCACTTCCAAGAAAACTGTAATCATTTTCAAACTTGGTCGAATTTCGTTTGGCAACAACTATTATATTTTTAGTAACCATAATTGGTTTTTAAGAATTATAATTTATTTTAAGAAACTCTTATTTATTTTTATAATTATCCCAGTTTCATAAAGGAAATTGAGATTTAAAATGCATAAGATACGTATTTTTTATACATGGACGTTGGTTCGATTCATAGAGCTTTCTATGAGAAAGTTTGTATCGAGAAGGTCCCACGACAAACCTAACTGTGAATAGAATACGGAAGCGGCTTTCCACCGATTTGACATTAACAAAAAAAAAATATTTAAAGTTTAAGTATCTTTTAATAATATGAATATACAAAAGAAAAATATATCCAATATATCCATAGAAAACAAATAAATACCAACCTATTTAATATTTCGCATAAATATGAAGGTTGTTTACTAAAAAAATAATATAATATAACATAATCATAACAAGAAAAAGTTTAACTTCAAAACTATTGAACAAATGACAAAACCACTATTATCGACAGCTCCTGAATTGGAAGCAAAATTTTATTCTCCAAGTAATGTGAAAGGTATTGGCCATTTGCACTTTTTGCCAAAGTCAAAACGTTGAAAGAGATATAAATGCCTCCAAAATTGGTGTGCGTTATCGCAAATGGGAATCTCAATTCATGCAAAACTGCGACAATGTGAACTATTGTGGAAAGGTGCGAATGGTTCTACAGGATTAAAGCTGATGGTCAGTTCGCAATGCGCCGATTCATTGAACCCTTTATGTAAGCTCATTTATAAGTACAGTATGGTTAATAACGTTGGGCATATGAATTCTCTTTTTGTTATGTAGATATACGATGTCATCCCTTAATTGCAATAACGTTAATTACACCATAAAATTGTCAAAGCAATAGCAGTGCAAGAAAACGCGATATTACAACATCTACCTGTAAAACAATTCCACTTATACATAATGCCGTGCCTAACAATACGCAAACCAAAAACTTTCAAGACGAAAATATTTGCTTAAAATTCAAATGAACGCCACAAGACAAAGCCGACTTGCCCACAACCGTTAGGTGTTATATTACGTCGACGTCAAACAAAACGGTCCCATTGTGCCTTTTTCGCATATTGCATATTTTTTTTGCTGACCGTCCTAAATCCCCGAGGACATAATCCGGGTCCACGCGGAAGGGTTCTACCAAATGACAGGCGCGTCTCTAACAATCACTGACAAATACTATTATTGAACATCAGTTGTATTACATGCAAATCTCAAATTTAAAACCACGTCAAAAGAGTTCATATTTGAATAACATGTGGATTGCAGCTGCCAATTTGATGCCGATGTCGATACCCCGATGCGTCGATTATCTTGACACTTATTGCAATTTTTCGTATGCCAACTATTTATTTTTTTCCGTTTGCAATACTATAATACCATAGGAACCGTAATATCAATGCCATCGTCTAATACTGAAATACCTGAAGACCAAAAACACCGTTATCGTTCCTATATAACTGCCGCCATCGAGTGCAGAAATAAGGTTTCAAAAATACCCAGTACAATAGCTTGAGGTAGCAGAATTCGATTATTTTGTATGAATAAGTGTATTTGAGCTAGTACTATTAGTATTAGGGGTTAAAGTATAAGATTGCCGTTTTATTGTAATAGGTTCTATAATCTTCATGGTTTGAGGTTTTCGAAAGAAACTTTTTTTACATGGTTTCTATGATGTTCTTTTTTTAAAATTGTGAAACATTTGAATATTCAATTGTTTTTGTTATTCAATTTAGACAAGAAAGATGGATACTCCGAAAATTCAAGTGATTATTGAATACGAGTTCCGACGCGGAAGTAACGCGGCAGAAACAGCCTGCAATATCAATGTTACGTTTGAAGAGAGGTCTGCTAATTAACGCACTGTGCGATTTTGGTTTAAACGCCTTCGTGATGGAAACTTCGACTTAAAGAACGAGCCATGAGGAAGACCGGCCACACAGGTGAATAACGAGGAATAAAGAGAAATGGTGGAAGCCGATCCTAGTCGAACTACCTAGGAATTAGTGGCATGGTTTAACGTCACCTTACCCACAATATTGACTTATTTGCGTCAAATCAATAAAATTAAAAAAAAAATACGAAAAATGGGTGCCTAATGAATTGACTGATCTGCAGAAAGAAACACGTTGAAACGGTACAGAAATGAAGGAATATTGGATCGAATTGTGACATGTGATGAAAAGTTGATTCTTTATGATAACCTTAAAAGAAAAATGCAATGGCTGACCCCAGGTCAAACGCCACAACAGTGTCCTTCAGCAAAACTAACCTATAAAAAGGTAATGGTAACGGTTTGGTGATCTCAGCATGGTGTTATTCACTATAGTTTTTGACGATCTGGTCAAGCAATAACGGAAGATGGCTATTGTGCAGAACTCCGAACAATGTTGGCAATACTAGCAGTAAAACAGCCCCGACTCATGAATCGATCTTCACCATAATTGCTCCATGACAACGCGAGACCTCATACAACACGAGAAACCGTTTTGACCCTTCAGGAACTGCAGTTAGAAACCATTCGTTATCCCCCATATTCGCCAGACCTTGCTCCAATAGACTACCGTTTTTTTCGTGATTTGGACAATTATTTACGTGACAAGAAATTTTTTTCCCAGGAGGCCGTACAAAATGCTTTAACATGGTGTGTGCTGTCTAGATCCTCAGAGTTCTATCGCAAAGGCATAATTGACCAATGTAGCAATGTATAGATAATAATGGTAACTATTTTGATTAAATAAATTTGTTAAAAATTGAAATTAAACAATTTTGATTTTCAGTACAAATCGGCAATTTCATACCTTAACCCCTATTATTATTTTAGATATGCTCTGCGATACCATGTAAGGCAAGAGAAGGTATTCATTATGAAGACACTTTAAGCTAAGTCACGGTTTTATTAGGTGAAATTTTTATAATTACAAATGCTCATATGTTTTATCGTCATACATATTAGACCTCCGTATGATCTGAATTGTAAGAATTCTAATTCCAGCTATTATTAATTAGAATTCTGACATGTTGAAGAATTATAAAGTTTCTTACTTTAGCCTTCTTCGGCGCATTCCGTTCTGATTGATCTTCGATCACCATTATAAAGAACATTCCTTACTCTGTTATCAGCCGTTTATTTACAAAAGTAAAGTAAAATGTGACATGTGATAGAAAATCATAATTCTTTCAATTTATTACGAGTACCTAAATGAGGTTGTATCAGACTCTATACATAAATATTAGCACAGAGCAAATTACTTGTGTATCTTTTGCTTTACATACAACTTAGTGCATCACGTTGTGGACAATATTTAGTAATAAATAAAATGACAAGTGATCTTAAACTATTTCCTATAATTTTACTAAATTACAAATAACATGAATAATTTACTTTATGATTTCTGTTTGATGACATGTGCCAAGTCGTATTTGCCTCTAACGCATTTCAGCTTCACACCGGGGCAATCTTTTAACCTGAAAACGAAGAAACGGAACCGTTTTAGGATCTCTTGTGTGTCTGTCCGACCATTTTTCAACAGTCGAAAAACTACCGGTCATAGGACGGGTGACAAAAAACTTATAATCTCGAGCTCATCTGTGGTTTGGGAGGCCAAAGCACCTTAAGCCATTGGCCCTTGCTGCATCTGCAGTCGTTAAGACCCAATAATCTGCATAGGGGTCTAGTTATCTATTATAAGAGAAGGCCATTACCACAACAGTGGGAACACTAATAAGCTGACGATGATGATGGTAGCGATATTTTTTTTCAGTTCATGTATCTTTACTAGAAGAGTATCTGTAGCCATGCTATGTTAGTTTTGAAATGTGTTATCTAAAGCACAATTCAGCGCCAACATTGCCGCCGCCATCTAGCGCAGCAAAAACGTAACAAAATACCAGTCTAACAGTCCACGCCATGTTAGTGAAGTAATTGATTTGATTATATTATTACAGAACGCAATAATTTCCTACTTTCACTATCCTAAAATTTACGGCTAGACTGCTATGGGCTCTCGATGATTGATGGACTATGGGATCTCGATCGATGAAGTTTGTCATACAACTATGACAAAATTCATCGAAATCATTTGATTTAGAATGGATTCATAACAACAATTTTATATTACAAAGTATAAAATAAGCAACACCTGGAGTTATCTTTACATCTAGTTTCATGCTGAGACACTAGATGGCGTAGATTATAAAGTCCGCAATTTACTGTAATTTGGTAATAAAGAATAAATAAATATATTGAAATCAAGTTTCATCGTAATCGTGCAGTACTCAGCATACGCCAACTGTTTATCCTTCACACCATTCTGTACAAACACTTAAGTTCCATATGACCGTAATAGCTTCATATCAAGAAAGCGTAGAACCGACTGACTCATCAAACTATATTGTTAGAAGGCTTTTATGTTTTCTTGCACCTTGTTAATAGAACAAAATAAATAGTATTAAATATTCATAATAAAACTCGTGTTACAAGTGCAAAACTACTGTAGAAAAGTGGTTAATGTAACACTTAATTACTCAGACAGAATCATTATTATCTCCTTGATAGGTTGACTTTTATTTTTATTTCATTTTGTTTGCCTTGCGTTTTATTAGTAGCAAGTCGCCTAAAGTTGCTATTTGATTACAGAAGGCGTTCGTATTAGACAGTGCTTGTGAAATTATTTTTATTAATTTTTCTCTCTATCATAAGACCTCGCACTAAGTAAATCGAGCTCCACAATTGTTTTAATTATTACCGAAATAAACAAGTATATTGTGCTGTATTCAACGTTTTGTTGAAGAACCAGTACCTGTCTTTTGCCTAAACACATTTTTATAGTAACACACACACACATCGCATCCACGCTCACGCTTTACTTTATTTGAACCATTTTGGTACTGACGTGCACTGAGACTGAGTACTGACGCGGATGAGACCTGTAGTCCTGAATAACAGGGTTGCACTAGCTTTATTTTTTATTTAACTATTCATAAATTCTTTGCCTATTAATCAATTATTGTGTGATTAATAAACTGATTACTATTAAGTGACTGACCTGCCAACCCGAACTAATACAATGTTATGCTCTTGTAGGTTGTGTCCAATGCCTGGAATATATGCTATCATCTCCTTCCCATTGGACAATCGCACCAAAACACATTTCCTGTTCGCTGAGTTTGGTTTCTTAGGTTTCTTTATTACAGTTTTAAGCACTACACCCTGAAATATTTGTAAAATAATTTTTAGTTATTCATTTTCATATTTTAGTATCCTTGTCTTCGATATATTTTAAGAACTGCCAATCTTTCTTTCCTAGGAACTTAATTAGCCAAGTCTGTAATTTTTAGTATCGGTGAACTAATCTAACTCATCATTAATCCAATAAAAAAAAAAAATTTACATCCAGAAATAATTTTCTTTTCATTTCTTTAATTTGTCAAAATCACATTTAGACCTAATGCAGGTTAGCATGCATTAAGCTATAGCACATATCTCCAAACGCACACATATCATAATGGCCAGTTCTTGGATCATCAACTACAAACTTATATCTCTAGCTGTACCATGCTTTGAGTTGTTACATTGTGTTAGTTCAGCTACATCTAAAGTCATTAATACCCACCAATCCCCACTGGGTTTGGGTGGTGATATTTAATCCATTCTCTCTATTTGATTCAATCTACATTGGAAGGTCTGTTGGAATAATGGTGAAAATATAAATTACATATTAATGGGGTTTTATGTTAATCTTTTGCTCCATTTTGAGTCACATTATTTATGAGTTATGGATGTGTTTCTCAGTTGTAGATCAGTTTTGTATTTTGTATTCAGTTGTATAAATACTGGGCTGTCCCCAGGTCGAGTTTTACAGCTGCACGTCACATCCATAATGGGTTGTTAATCACGCACCCTAGCACTGGGTAGTTGCTCATTTTGTTTGTACTTCAGTATAGAATTTTGAACGTATGGGAAGGACTTTTTGTTACTGTTGTATATCAATATGTTATTGATTTTGATGTAGGTACTTTTAACCTTATTATAATCAATAATGTTAATTTAGTGGAGGGTACTTTAGGATTGTCACTTCTAGACTGGCTACTTAGCCAAGTAACCTTGTGTGATTTTAATTATGCATATTATTTATTATACAGAACATATTAGTCAATTAAAATTAAAATAATGTGTTCTTTTGCTTTCCATGTAGCATGGCGGCATGTACGCAATGAAAAAAGGTGATGTCTTGTCATGCTGACATGGCTTTCGCACATACAGCATATTATCTAAATAATAAAAAACCGTGTCTGTAATCCTATGTTTTACTTATTTATTTGGATATATATATATGTATATATTAATATATCAAATAATTGTTGGGTATGATGTGAAATAAACGGATTTATTCCTTATAATAAATACTTATTGTCTAATGTTTGTGAAAATATAGTAAACTATCAATTTGTATAACAAATAAGATTGCTTGTAAATTACATTACTACTAACTTTAAATATTTATTGTTTGTAAATATTATATATTAATTATGATAACAAATTAATCAAATATGATCTAAATTATAACAAATGGGTAACAAATGGTGTAAAGTAAATTTTCATGAATCCATTAATATACTTTCTGAAATCAGACAAATATCAAATTACCTTAGCAAAAGGATTTCCATTGAGAGGATTTCTTGATTTCCTCTTTTTTATGTGTGGTCCACTTCTATGCATTTGAGCTAGTGATGCCATGGCTCGAGAAAACAGTCCTAGCGATGTTGTAGAGTTGCTTGGTAGTACTTGATTGCATAGTATCCCTGGAACTGGTTAAAAAAAATGCAATTTACTTTCTTCCAAAGCCCTCAATCTAAATTTTAGTAACTCCCCATGTCTATACTTAATTAAACTTACTCTTCTTCCTAGAATGCTCACATTATTAGTTTATGTACCTTTTAATTGGGTGAATTGTGATTTGATGCCCAGTGAAAGAAGAGACAATCCACTTCTTATGAAGTTCATCTAAAAATATTAATTAAAATTGTCGGTAAATAATCTTTCTGATACATGATTTAGCGTTTAATTGCGCAAAAACATTCATCGATTACCTTCATAAAATATGTAAATGTTGTAATCTAAAGTAACTTCATATAATTATAACTAAAATCTATGAAACTTTATCGAATTAATAAAACAACATACCCTACTAACCTCACTATTTTGACATATTTTTTAAAAGGTATTTCTCATAAGCAGTGCAAAGAGCATAACTCATACAGCCGCAATATATCTATTATTTGTATTTTTACTTTTAAGTTTTAAATCAATGATGTATTTATTTAAAGATTTTGTTATTGAACAATGAAAAAAGGAAAACATAGACATTATAGGAATAATATAATATTTTTTGAATTTATTATAAGAGTGTTATTTTATCCAATATTATCATTGCTTACTAATAGAAGTAAAGGAAAGATAAAATGTACAAAAATGTTTGTTTACTTCAATTTACTACACCCGCTTGTGTTGCTCCGAGTTTTGCGTAATATTCCTTATAATTTACAAAAAAACTTAAGAACTAATACGTATGTATTACTTACTGCTAATATAGATAATTTGTTTAAAAAAATAGTTATAAGGGTTCAGCAGCAAAAGGAAAAATAGAGCCCGTGTAGGATAATATCTGTCCTTGACAGTCAAAGCTGATTTCGTTTACTTTTGGACTGATTGAGTTGATTTTTTTTCTATTCAATGATATTGGTGAATAAATGTACGATCGGATAATTACCTAACTATTTATTTGATTTTGTAAATGAACACAATGAGCATGAGCATATTAGCTCTTGGTATTTGAATGCAATGACAAAGTATTAAAAAGATGATTCTTGAAAGTGTGGCGACTGATACATAGCGACATCTAACTCATCGCACTAACATCGCCACAACAATTGATAGCGAGAAGACTAGCAATCGATAGCAAGTGAACTGCACGAAGTTTCAACACCCAGTAACGAGATGGCGCTGTACCGATACAAACATTATAAATTAATATATTTTATTAATTTTGCATTCACAATGCTATGCTGAAAATTATTCTTAATAAGTTGGCTCAGCACTAATTTAGACATAATTTCATGTTTGGATTGAAGAACAAAAAGCAGAGCGCAGCATTTAGCTTGTTATTTATGTGCTGTTTATCCATGTTATATTATGCATTGATACGTCGAACGATATCAATATAAAATTCTTTCACCTATGGGAAACTAAATCATATGCGGTACACATAGGCTATATTTTATCACAAAAAACAGTAAATAAAGGAATGAAAGTGAGAGAAGAAAAATTAATACGTTACCATAGTTAGGTACCATTGTTTACTATTCAATTCGTCTTTATAATTATATTCGTATCATGTTGATGTCATGATATGAATTGATATCCTTATAAAAAAAATCCCTAGGGACAATGCGGGGGAAGCCGCTGGCGGAAAGCTAGTTTGATATATATCGAACAAAAATTATCATGGTGTGATAATTTGAAAGTAGAGGTCAGAATCAAAAATCAAGTGGGCAAATTTGTTAGTTTGTTTACTCTCCATGTCAGATTAAACTGACGTTTAGTGTACATAGGTACCTACTTATACTTTGTCACACAAAAGAACACCACTACATAATACAAATTAAAACTCACTGAAAACAATAAAATAAATTGAGTCCTATAGGATCTGAGATTTTCCTCTTCAAATTGGCTTCAACGAAATTTTGATTATGAAAAATACGAACACAAAACTAATGAATTCCCGCTAAAAGTTAATGTCATTATAAATGTAGTTTTACATGTGCTGAAATTAGTTGGTTTCGTGAATCTTGTTTCATCATTTATGACAAGGCGAATTTATGTTAATTGAACTTATCAGTTTTATATGAACTAGCTGTACCCACGACGTTGCACGCGTATATTATAGCTTATGTCAATCCTATTACGCGCGTATATTATACTCATAAGTTAATTGTTAAAATAGGTCCAGCAATTTCAACGAACAGTCAAATCTTTCCTCTTTATAATATTAATATAAATAAATATGCTGCAGTTTTGTTTTAATATTTATTTTAAATGATACAACTATCTAACTGTAACTGGTAAATAAAAACTAAATTTTGTATTCTAAATATATTTATTCTGTTTCCATGTCTAGGTTCGATTTAAATTGTTTTGGATTAAATATTTGGTTTACGCCTTATTTTCGCAAATATATGCTAGCTTCATAGAGCACCAGTAATCACGCAATCCGTAGTTATATGCATCCATACCAACACAATGAGGTTCCGCGGGGTCATTGCTGAAATAATAATAAAAAAAAAACAAATATGACATTCTTATAAATTAGTAATAATTTTTTATTCATGGTTAGATATGTATGCAAAGATTTAACAAGAATAGTTTTTCTAGCGACTCAAGTAGCTAAGATTTGCTTAATGTCAGTAAGTAACTTTACAAAAATTTAAATCATTTGGGGCCCTTATCCAAAAATCTTTCACGGCCCATAAGCTGTCGAATGAAAATGGAATTTTGTAAATCAGCCAGTAAAGCAGATTGCATATTAATTGCATCGTAATTTAAATGTAGATTTTTTACTTTTTTTACAATAAAATACTTAATTCCATACCTAAACGGTTGACCGTTTTCACTCGCCCAAGTGTGGAAGCCGATGTTTTCTAAATTTACATCTAAAAAATATAATGACATCATAAGAATTATAAGACAAACACTTATTTTCTTAACTATTTTCGTTTAACTACTAACTGATATGATAATGGTGGGCATTTGATTTGCGAAAGAATGAAAACGAAACATGTCTAGAACAAAAACATTAATAAAGTGCTCGTCGTGTCTAATAAGTTTGTCGCCGTTTCCTTTACACCATTGTTTTTTATTGGCGGATCCTATTCGAGCTAAATACCTATTGAACTGTTTTTTGTAAAAATTACACTTCATCAAAGTAACTATTCATTCTAAGTTTCAAGTTAAATGGAATTACAATATTGTCTTAAAATGTATATAAAATATAAAAGTCTCCATTATCATTAAAATTTGAAAATTATGTTTAAATAGCATTTGCAGTGCGGCAATATCTATGCCGCATTATAAAGATGATTACCCCTAGGGATACTTCTTAGCAAATTTACCTAGCTATATCCCAATAAAGTAGAATTTTGTTTTACACCTTGAATGAGTAACAAACAAGGAGAATCACCTTGGTAAAAAAACAAGTAAACGAACATTTATCGAATATAAGTACATTTTTATTATTTTGGAATAAACGTTATTATTTTCTTTTACCTGTATATAAACGCTGTTGCCAAATGTCTGGTTCGTCAGATTCAAGGTCCTGAGTGTGATTCCCGGATGGGTCAAAGTAGAAAATTATTTTATATGATGAGCCGCGTCTAAATGTTGTGGTACTTACCTTCGTTGTTTCAGAATGCCATAGAAATACTTTAGCTAGGTACTTCATTTAAAATTCAACCAATGCATATGATGTCCAGTATTTATCTATTATTACATAATTATTAATATTATTAAACAAAACCGATTTTATATTACGAAATGAAATTAATTATGCAATAAGTTTCCTTGCAGTAATTTCGCTAGTTAATTCTCGTATAAGCTTCCAATTTCATAATGCATGTATTTTTAGGTAAATAAAGTTATTAATATTATTATTAGTTTCAAGACGGTAAGGTAGTTTCGTGTTAGCGCATATTATTGTTGAAACTAATGTCACGCAACTAAATTCACCACGATTTGGCATGGCAAAAGAAGTATACCATCTGCGTACAATAAAGTTTATATGTTAACGGAACCATGTTTAGGTAGGTACTATTGGTTTCACGCCATTACGAGATTAGTTTTACATGTGCTGAAATTAGTTTCGTGAAACTTATTTCATCATGCATGATAAGTAGTAAGTTCGTAATGTAGTTTCACCTGTAGTTTAAATTGTAAATAGTAAATATTACGTTAAATTACCGTCAACAGTTTTCCACATAAGATAGTTCTCCAGGTTGTTAATTCCAAGCCATACCATCAGTTTGAAATCGGGGTTCACAATACTGGGATAATGTATACCACGCACTATTTTCTGAATGAAAATAAATTCTTCCTGAAAATGGATGATTTTAAAAATGTGTAAAAATTATTAAGTCAATAAATTCTGAATCTGCATCTATCCAGAATTCCAGATCCTATATCCTGAAAAATAGTATGGAAAACTCACAAATTTTTGAATACCTATGTAATTATTTTTACGTTTGTAATATTAATGGAGGAGCTCGATGACTGCGCGAATTAGAGCGCTTGGATTGCAAATTGGAAGTTAAGTAATTTATGCATTAGGCCGGTCATAGGATAGTAGACCAAAACTTTATTATCTTTTCTTCGTATTGCTATTGGTCTCGGTTGTATCTGCAGTCATGACTAATACATTCTGGGATCGCGTGGTCGATCATGCATGGAGTAGTCATATACCTTAACACTAAGTACATTAATATGATGATTATGATGAATAAATCATTAGTATTACCTATAATCTTGATTAAGATAATACCTCTGATTCCGGCACTGCAAGTTTGCCTCCATTTGTTGCGCATGAGTCGCGTGCTACGGTCCACTTCTGTGCATTATACATAACTTTATAAGTTTTTCCATGCAACTTTTGTACGGCAGTATCTAAAAAATTTTTACTTATTAATTTTATAACTCTTACTTGAAATTTCATAAGTTCAACTTTTCTACTAAAATGCTACATGTTTTCTAACTCTAATTATAAATAGAGAGTAGGTACATACAATAGAGTATAGTGAATGATATTACTAAAAATCACGAATCCAATAAGAATGCGACTTCATAAATTTGTTTAAAAAATTATTGCTAATTAACATTGAAAATTTAACGGTACCTATTCAATTTGTTCTGTTAATTATATTTCTTTAAGTGACAATTTACAAATATTCTATTCACTTAAATAACCAAGAGCTGCAAGAGCTGTCATAAATGGGTTCTCGTTATACGTTACATATTATTGTTATTGCAGTAGTGGAAGAAGTATGGTGTATCGCAGCGATATTTAAGGCTTATGAATATTAGAAGGCTCTCCGAAAAAATATTATTTTTTTCTACAACACTATAAGTTTTTAGTCGAAAGCAGTAATTTAAAAACTGTAAAATATACAAACCGTTTTCCGTAGAAATGTAACCCAATGTCGATACACAAAAAAGAATTATTAGAATTCGATACATGCTGAAAAAGAGTAAACAATTTCAATGAACATAAAATATGTTTAGTAAGCGAGCTATCAATATTGCCGATAAATGAGATTAGAACTACAGAAATAACAAAAACAATAAAACAGGTCACGATTGATAACAGACTAAGTTATGCTTATAAGTGTCGAATAGATGCCATCTTATCGAAAGTAGCAGCGAAAATAAACTTATTGATAAAACTACTTGAAACATACGTACTTACTTTGATTTAGATATCACTTAACCAACTTATGATCAACAAATAGAACCGTCTAGCCTTCTAAGTGTTGGTCAACTGACAATTAAGCGACGAGATAACGGTAAAAACCGTTAGTTTGTTGAACTTGTACTTGAGTAAATAATCCATGAAACAGCATAAAACTTTGAAGACATATAATTCAAGAAGAAGTAAAATAAACAAATGCTTGGCGTTATTATTTACTAATGCGTCATTTTAATATATGTATGTCTGTATTAAAACAAAAACAAAATATGCAAAACACAACGCTTTGAATTATTATTTCAATACCCGCAGGTTGATTTGTTTTGTTGTATAGTTATTAAGATTCGGGATGTATTTGTAACTCATCACCATCCTCATCATCCTTAGCCTATTAATGTTCCTAGCGCTGGGGTGGGTTCCTCAGGCTTTCCCTATGCAAACGAATAGGGAGATTAGGTCATGATCTATCATGTGGGTCTAGTGCAAATTGGAGGGTATTAACGGCTGCAGATGCAGCCGAGACCAACGACGTAACGTGCCTCCCGAAGCACGAAGGAGTTCGAGATAAGAAATGTTTGGTCACTCATTCTATAACCAGGAATTGCGAGAGGCTGCATAACAACCGTATCGCAGACCGAGCGCGCTAGCTACTGCGCCATGGAGCTTCTCCAGTTTATATATATCTATGTGTAATAGAAACACGAAACTGTGAGATGGTGAAACCTTGAAACTATGGCAATTGATGGCAATCGTCGTTATTTCCTAATTATTACTGGAAATGCACATAAAATTAGTGGACCTGCATAATTTTATGTGCGCATTTTGTGAACAAATAAATAATTCCGCCGGTTTGGTTAGTTAAATTTTGAAAAAACCATGAGATTCAAGGATTATGTGCTAATTACAGTGATTTATGAAAACAAATTTATTATAATTAATTTTATTGATTTTCTGATATCAATTACAATGAAATATATCACTTTACAAAGAAACATTTATATTTTCATTGCAATTTTAACAATATTTGATATAACTACTATATAATTAATCTTATTCTCTTATTTGTGGATTGGTTTGTCTCGACTTAATATTAAATAACGGTTATTAATTTTGAATTCATGTGTAAAAAGTGAGAAGTTAAGTGAGCTATAAATTAAAATATTTTGCATATCTAACAGGTTCTTACATATAGCTGACTAATACATAAACAAAAGCAGTCCGATTATTTGTATAATGAAAAACTTACGAGCATCTTCGTATGCTCTTTGCTTAAAATATTTAAAATAGAAAATAATAATAATAATAATTTATTTGCGTTTGAATAGGGTATACAAAAGAGATGTAAAAGGTAATACAATTATCGCCTATTCAGCCATTAACAATAGCATGCAAATGTAGTAAAAGAAGATACTATAAGCACTGATCAATTCACCCAGGCTACCGTTCAGTTTCCATAGTCTAAGAACTCATGCAACGAATAAAGGAACGCTCAGCAAGCCAGTTATATAACTCTCTCTGAAATCTAGTAAAAGGTGTATACTTTATAGATTCCGGAATTTTATTAAATATTGTTTGACACATACAGTAGCAGTTATTTTTAAATCGCGCGCTTTTTGGGACTATATCACGAACTAGCCAATTTTTATTTCTAGTGTTCCTGGGATACACTTCATAAGCTATTCTGTAATAATCAGGGTATCGTTTGGCAAATTTCGCTGCTTCAAATACATATAAGCAAGGAAGAGGTAGAATACCAAGAAATTTAAACCATTGCTTACATGAGACGTCGGGAGCGATATATGGATCTTATGCATTTTTTTGGGCAATAAATACGTATTTACAGGCGTCAAAATGAGAAGTTTTCTCTATCCGCTATTACTGAAATAGTAAGTTACCAGGGATCTCTTATGAAGCTCGTACCGATCTTGTTGTGTTCGATATAGGAAATTTAAACTCTCAAAGATACGTGGAAGAAGTTCCTCAAGATCATGTCATAGCTTTCGCTCCGTTCATTGGTGACAACTTCAGATTAATGCATGACAACGCACGTTGCTATACCGCAAGATCCGTCAGTGAGTATCTTAATAAGGTCGGGATTCAAGTTTTATCAGGCCCCTTACGCTGTCCCGATCTTAACCCAATAGAACATATTTGGGACAACCTTAAAAGACGTGTCCTAGCAAGAGGACTAGTGCCTACAACTAAATGAGAGCCTATAACGATTACAATAGAGGAGTGGCACAATATCTCCCAATCGGATATTCATGACATCATGGATGAATATTTTTTTTCCAATACATTAAAAAAATACTGGTTCGCCATTAAACACCTCATAAATCTTAGTTTAACGTCTAAATTCTTAAAAATTTTATTCATGATTAATGTTATAAATTCAAGTGAAAATAAGCTTAATGAAGATAAAAGGCTGCGGAAAAATTATAGCGAAGAGATTCATCTTGGTGCCTGGCGTATATTTTGCAATTGTTCTTGCAAATTAGAACTAAAGAATAACTTTATATTTTGTTTAATTCCAGTACTCAATTATTATCATCATGTCAGCCGATTGACGCCCATTGCTGGGCATAGGCCGCTCCATAGAGTGGGCCGGTCTCATGGGTACTGCAATAAACAAATTTTAATTGTTCCACGACTAGTAAGGACTGATCTACATCGTTCATCTTGGATTGATCGATAGGAATGATCGACAGGACTGATCGACATCGGTCAAAAAATCATTTTGAATATCAGTTAAATAAAGTACAATTATATGTTTAAAGTGATATTAATTTAAGTGTATTTTTACCTTTAGTTTAATAGTGATCGATTAATTTTATAAGTATATTTACAAAGCACCTACGTAGGGTTTTTATACCGATAGAAAAATATACATGTTAACAGAGTATTTCAAATTCGAATTCAAACCTTTTATCACAATATCTCAGGACAAGTTATTAATTTAATTCAAGGAATTAAATATGTATCATCAATTGTGCCGAATTACTAAGAAACAATAACATCGAACCAATTAAATTTTCAAATTACGAACTTAATACTATAGGTATCAATAAAGTTATCAATTAAGTAATTAACAATTGAATTCCGAATATGTTATAAAATATTATGTACCTACACTAATATTTACATATTTAAACAAATAATAAGAAATAAACTACATATCATTTTGCTCATTTCTTTCTATAAAGAGTAACGGCAGTCCCCCTTCTATGTTTTGGACAATATCGAACTTTGGTTCAACAGTGAGATGTTTCTTGGTTTCAGGGGCTGGTTTCACGGTAAATTTGGAAAGAATGGCAGCTAGGCCAGCTAGAGACTGCATCAGACCTAGTCTTGCGCCTGCAAATAATATCAAAAATATTTTAGAAGTGATATCAAAGTCACACAATAACCAAATAAAGATGGCATACTTATGTAGACAATTATAAAATAAGTCTACCGATGGGCAAATTACGGGACATAAAAGACTTTGAAGTCAATAAATTATTTTACACAACGTTAAATTCAACGTTGTGTAAATGTAAGCCTGCGTCACATAAAGCATCAATAAATAAAGATTTTCTAGACGCACTTACCTATACATGCGCGCGGACCATCACCAAATGGTAAATAAACGTATTTATTGGTTTCATTAAAATTTTCTAGACTAAATCTTTCGGGACGGAACTCAAATGGATTGTCGAAGTATTGACCGTCAGTGTGGATTCCTTGTATGGGTATGCACACATACACACCATCATCTATCGTTAAGTTTAATTCTGGAAAGGTATATTTTTTCGTACATTTCCTAGCCAAGTATCCTAAGGATGGAAACAATCTCATACCTTCCTTGAATGTCCATTCTAAATACGTCATGCTTTTAACAGCGTCATAACTCAACTTATAGTCATGTTTACTCAGAACTTCATCAATTTCCTTTTGAACTTTTTTCTGTACTTCAGGACTGTGTGCGAGTTGGTGAAGAGTGTAACTAGTTGCCGATGAAGATGTTTCAAAGCCAGCGGCAAAGAAAACAAATACTTGTGCTGCTATCAATTTATCAGTTAGTTCTAATTTCACAAGATCGGGAGTACCATCAGATTTCATTTTTTCAAGAGATTCAAGTTCAATTACACCCTTCTGTTTACAATCTATCATTAAGTCTATAAAATCATTTCTATTGGATCGTTGGTATTTTCTCTTTATTAAAATTTGTTGGACCAATGAGAGCACTTGATTTTCCAGTTTGCGCGTGTATTTCAAGTTTCTACTTAAAGCTGGGAAAGCATGTTTCATTATTGTGATGATCACCACGGTAATATTGAATTCAAAGATTTGTTGGCCAAGTTTACGGAATTCGGAGTTTTCTTCATTTAGAGATCCCGCGTCGAGACCAAATCCACAAGCACCTATGAAATCTGTCGTATATCGTGCCATCAAATCTCTAGCGTCGATGGTACGTCCTTCGCGAGATGCTGCTAATGTTCGTGCTTGTAATTGTTCGGCTCGCTCAACTATCAACGGGAACATAGCTCTCAATTTGCCGCTGGTAAATGCCGGTGTCATGCGCTGTCTTAGAAGACGCCACAAATCACCTTCTGCGAAAAATAGATTTTGCAAAAGTGGCTCAATACCATATTTATCCGGGTGAAGCCCACGCTCGTAGAAATGTGCAAAATCTGTAATGAGAACTCTTTTGATCAATTCAGGATCTCTAATGAGTAGACCCGGCTTTGATGAACGAAAGTAACCCACTACTTTTTCTCCAGGATATTCTTTGTACCACTGTGTTATAGTTTCCGTTACACTCTCTCGAATCAAATAATTTTCAAGCATACTTCCAAATATAATGACAGGCTTTATATATTTTATTCCACGCTTTTTCCAATAGTTAAAGTTTCTTGTGTTGTATAGATATAATACGATTAGAGTTAAACTTATCACAATTACAGTTATCATAATGACTAAACAAAATTATTTTAGAAACCAAAAGTTATTTTTCCTATCTTTCTCACTAACTTATCCTTACCAATGATAGCAGTGGAATGTCTTTATATAAGTAAACATTATTATAAATTGCTTGTTTATTTATTTATCTATATTGCTTATAATAATGAGAGCTAAATTTATACAAATCGGTTGTGTGTTATGTATGTGACAGTGTTGTTGCGATAGCGATAGTTTATTCTCTAGCATAACACTGTTGTAGTTTAAGAATTATTCGAATAATCGATAGTTTTCCAAAGGGTAGGCTATCAATTCTTCGAATATGTCCTATATTATCAATGGATAGTCAGCCATTCTTTGAACTCTAGTCGTGTTTACAACAAATCATAAACTGTTATATAGATAGTAGTCTAACAGTCAGTTGCACAAATGTCCATTACGGTTTAATGACACCTTTAAGCTCTTATGAATGTGAAATTTGTATTGGTAATATCACTTTAATGTAATGACAATTTTAATGAACGTTTGTGCAATTGTCTCTTAAACTGTATATAACAATAATATCCCATCAAAAATATAATATGTACAAAAATTTACAAGTATCGCGACACATTTACTGCAATAAAATGTTGTGAAATCAATACAAAACTACTTAAGTCGAGTAATTCAGTTTCTAATTTTGTGCGAGTAGCTATTCAACCCTGTCACAGATTGAGGAATATTTAAGAAACGCAAACAGCACCATAATATAGGCAACTATTTTATGTAAGATTCTTTTACCATGCCTAGGCGTTTGCCAAGTATTACTTAATGTTTATTTTGACAAGATTACATAGTTGTTCTCATAGAAAGGTAGGTACTAAATGAATTGACTACACAAATATTGAGAAATAACTACATTTTATAAGAAATAACTATACAAGATGGACCGACAATCTGGTGAAGGTCGCGGGAAGCCGCTGTATGCAGGAGGCGCAGGACCGATCACGTTGGAGATCTTTGGGGGAGGCCTATGCCCAGCAGTGGGCGTCTCTCGGCTGATATGATGATGATGAACTACATTTTTATTTGCCTTCTTTCTATAAACATTAATGGTAATCCGCCTTCTATGTTTTGGACAATATCGAACTTAGGTTCAACGGTAAGATGTTTCTTGGTTTCAGGGCCAGGTTGTACGGTAAATTTTGAAAGAATAGCGGCTAGGCCAGCTAGAGACTGCATCAGACCGAGTCTTGCGCCTGTAAATAATTCCATTAATAGTTAAAAAGTGCTATTAAAAATCACACCGATAAAGGTGGCATTCATTTATAAACAACTAGATTTTTTCCTCAACTTACTTAAGTAAATTATAGTCTATGTTATCCAGGTGTGGTGTACCTTCCTATAGGTAAAAGAATTTTAAAAAACGGCCTAGTATTTTGGAGACTTTTCAACGCAAACAAATACAGAATCAAACGAACACTGATATCTTTCCGCTTTATAAATAAATAATAATAAATATATAACAACATCACACACATTGCTCTGATTCCAAGATGAGTAGCTAAAGCCCCCGTATTATGGAGTATCTGAGATAACAAAGGTACCATAACACCCAGACCCGAGACAATATAGAAAAGTTCATTTTCTACATTGACCCGACCGGGAATCGAACCCGGGACCCTCAGAGATGGCGACATCTTGAAACCGCCGCGTGTGTACCACTCGGCTACGGAGGTCGCTTTAAATATACATAGGTATAAGATTTACTATATATATATTTTTGTTACAATTTTTTTACCTGTACTAACAGCTTATTGTAAAATAAGTCTGTCTACAAAAGCTCAGTCTATGGGAGATAATAAAAAATTCAAAATCTATGAGCACATATGAGCTTGCATCACGTCAAATATTATTTAAAAAATATTTTTTGAACGCACTTACCTATACAAGCACGTGGGCCATCACCAAATGGTAAATAAACATATTTATTGGTTTTATTAAAATTTTCTGGACTAAATCTTTCGGGACGGAACTCGAATGGATTGTCGAAGTACTGAGCATCAGTATGGATTCCTTGTATGGGCATGCACACACATACACCCTCATCTATTGTCAAGTTCAATTCAAGAAAGGTATATCTTTTCGTACAGTTCCTAGCCAAGTATCCTAAGGATGGGAACAGTCTCATGCCTTCTTTGAATGTCCATTCTAAATAAGTCATGCTGTTAACAGCTTCATAACTCAACCTATTGTTATGTTTACAAAGTATTTCATCGATTTCCTTTTGTAGTTTTTTCTGTACTTTAGGATTGTGTGCGAGTTGATGAAGAGTATAGCTAGTTGCCGATGAAGATGTTTCAAAGCCAGCGGCAAAGAAAACAAACACTTGTGCTGCTATTAATTCATCGGTTAATTCCAATTTCACAAGATCAGGAGTACCATCGGATTTTACTTTTTCAAGAGATTCAACTTCAATCACACCTTTATGTTTACAATCTATCATTAAGTCTATAAAATCATTTCTATTTGATGGTTGGTATTTTCTCTTTACTAAAATTTGTTGGACCAATGAGAACACTTGATTTTCGAGTTTGCGCATGTATTTTAAGTTTTTACTTAAAGCTGGGAAAGCGTGTTTCATTATTGTGATGATCACCACGGTAATATTGAATTCAAAGATTTGTTGGCCAAGTTTACGGAATTCGGAGTTTTCTTCATTTAGAGATCCCGCGTCGAGACCAAATCCACAAGCACCAATGAAATCTGTCGTATATCGTGCCATCAAATCTCTAGCGTCGATGGTACGTCCTTCGCGAGATGCTGCTAATGTTCGTGCTTGTAATTGTTCGGCTCGCTCAACTATCAACGGGAACATGGCTCTCAATTTTCCGCTGGTAAATGCCGGAGTCATGCGCTGTCTCAGAAGACGCCACAAATCACCTTCTGCGAAAAATAGATTTTGCAAAAGTGGCTCAATACCATATTTATCCGGGTGAAGCCCACGCTCGTAGAAATACGCAAAATCTGTAATGAGAACTCTTTTAATTAATTCAGGATCCCTAATGAGTAGTCCCGGCTTTGATGAACGGAAGTAACCCACCACTTTTTCTTCAGGATATTCTCTGTACCACTGTGTTATAGTTTCCGTGATGCTCTTCCGCATCAAAAAATTTTCAGGTGTACTTCCAACTATAAAGATAGGTTTTATATATTTTATTCCACGTTTTTTCCAGTAGTGAAAGTGTCTTGTGTTGTAAAAGTACAATACGATTAGAGTTAAACTTATCACGATAACAGTTATCATAATGACTAAATTAAATTATTAAAAAAAAGTTATTTTTCACTGGCTTAACCGGCGTCCGTCTTTTTAATACTAAACATAGCACTGGGACGTTTTTACAAATGGAAAATTTATTAAAAATTGCTTGTTTATCTACATCCATATTTTAAACGAGTGCTAAATTTGTTTAAACCGGTTATATTTTACGTGGCAGTGTTGTTGTGATAGCTATAGTACATTCGCTAGCATGGACTTTTGTGGTTTTGAGAATTATTCGAAGAATCGATAGTTTTTCCCATTGATAGTAAGCATTTCTATGAAACCATTGCGTGTTTATAGAAAGTCATAAACGTGAAAATACGCATACAGGAAATATTGTAACCAGTGCAAAAAATGTAATATTGAGTAAATAACTGTAAATAACATTCAAGTCTTCTTCTCTTTTTTAATTTAATATAATCCGAGGTACAGAAGCAATTTTGACAATATACTTACTGTTTGTTTACTACTATAAAAATAAATATGAAATATGTTAAATCTATGAATATAGAAACTTTTTTCATAATTTTAATGTTCTATTTACATACCTAATATTGTATTTAGTGAGCTGCGTTTAAGGTCTCACTGCCAAGAAGTTTTTCTAACTATCCACTTACACTGTTCCCAGAGCCCAATGTCTGTTCTGTCAGTGGCGTACCTTCGCATCCTTGCTTACAGCACATTCTAGGTATACAAAGTTGTTTACTGGCCGTCCCTGTCCCACGTTACTGTCCCAGGAAGCCCCTTACAAAAACTTTTAACTTGCCCCGATCTAAAACTAATCTTGGCCTACATTATCCCTTAGTTAGAATTTACAATAGTTACGAGTACATTAATTTAAATGTCAAATCTACCAACCTGGATATTTTTATGATTCACAAAATTGCTTCAAAAATACTTTATTGAAACTGCTCGAGTCTTAGAATGTGTGTTTTTTTAATTAAAATGATAAAGAAAATTTTCTCTTTATGTTTTTTCTAACCTGTGTTTTTGTCTAATGTATTTTTTTTCACAATTTGTGTTTGTTTCCTCTTTAATTTTGACTTGATACACAATAATGTAAACGCTTACATATCAATCTGTCTGTTTTTTTATTTTTTATTCTTAACTATTTATAGCTGTAAGCATGCCTTAATAATAAATAAATAAATTCACTTGTTCCACCGTCACATCATCAACAGTATACCTTACATTAGTTTTAGAATCGTCTCTTTCGAATACCATCATATTTATCTTTTTCACGTGCATTTGTAATTTGTCTTCTTCGCAAATTATTTGTAATCGTCTTATCATATAATCAACTTATAACACTGTGACTTGAGTTTGCAGATCGGATGGATTTCCTGCAAGCACCACTCACCTGCATCTGCATATAGTAGGCAAGTACGAGGGTCAAACTGAAAGTTCTTAGAACTGGCCACTTATAAACAATATAATAAAAAAATAATTCTAAAATTTGAAAATATAACTCTTTGCCAATATTACTGAGTATATATTTCATTCATTTGTCATTTGTTTTACGATTTGGCGGCAAATTGAAAATTGTCTGTGTCACGTCATCATGAATTTAACACGAGAAAATTTTCGTGCAATGATTTTTTATGACTTTCGATGTCATTTAAGTCAACAAGAAAGTTATGATAGACTACGATTGGCCTTTCACGATGAAGCCCCATCTCGTGCGACTGTTTACAACTGGTTTAATGAGTTTAAACGTGGTCGCACTAATCTCACTGATGATTTACGTGAGGGACGGCCTTCTACGGCGACGACTGAAGATAACATCTGTGTTGTGCGGCGTATGATAGAGACTGACAAAAGAGTGACCTATCAACAGATTCGGACAAGCTTAGGCATCGGTATGAGTCAAGTGCACAAAATCCTCCACGAACATTTAGCGGTCAGGAAGCTTTGCGCCCGGTGGATACCTCATAATTTAACTGAGGCTCAAAAACTCCATCGTGTGGATTGGTGTCGTAAAATGATTGAAAGATTTAACGGAGGTGACTCAAATGCTGTGTTCGACATACTAACAGGTGACGAAAGCTGGATTTACTGTTATGATCCTAAAACCAAAAGACAATCTGCTCAGTGGGTGTTTCCTTTCGAGGAGTTGCCAACTAAAGTGAAGAGAGATCGAAGTGCGGGAAAAAAAATGGTGGCCTCGTTCTTTGGAAGGATAGGTCATTTTGCAACAATTGTGTTAGAGGATCAAAAAACAGTTTCTGCAGAATGGTACACTACCAATTGTTTGCCACTTGTCTTGGAAAAAGTTCGAGAGAAACGACCTCGCAGTAGGATCCTCCTTCACCACGACAACGCCTTGTCGCACACCGCCAAGCGAACGATCGACTATTTGGCGACATCAAACGTTGAATTACTGGGTCACCCGCCGTATAGCCCCGACCTCGCGCCTTGTGATTTTTATTTATTTCCAAAAATTAAAGAAAAACTTAAAGGAAAGCGGTTTATGAATGCTGAAGAAGCGGTGGCTGCGTATCGCGATGCCATTGAAGAGACCCCTAAGGACGAGTGGGCAAAGTGCTTTTCCCAGTGGTTCCATCGCATGCAGCGGTGTATTGACGTGAATGGACAATATTTTGAAAAGATATAATAAAACTAATAACTGGCTAATGTAATCAGTTTTTGATTTTCTAAGAACTTTCAGTTTGACCCTCGTAATAAGTACACCCATTTGAAATACTACATTCATAGACCGTATATACATATAAACAGTCTAGCCGACAACACGCAACCCTGCTTCACCTTGATGTAAACTATTGATACTATTGAACATAATTTTTTATTTATTGATATTATTTAGCAAACTTACGTTTTGACACGCTTATCGACATCGAATGGCTACGTTTAATAACAACACTAAGGCATACCGGTTTTATTAGAGGGTTATCAAGTTGCACAGAAGGTCAACCTAAATATGATTAGAAGAGATCTGCGCCGAATTAAAAGGAAACATGTACATATATTTCAATACCATAAACTCTACGGATAGATAATGATGACGTCATTATTTGATAGAAAGAGATGTATTTATGTAATATGCCATATTTAAGAAAGTGTTTTATTCATAATAACGCCGTCTTCTTTGTATTTCATAAATAAGATTTTGGCATCACTACGGTGTAAATATCATAAACAGCCCTACTTTACGTCCCGAACGACTACGAAAAAAATATTGATTTTTTGACATTTGATAAAGAGTGAAAAAATTAGAAATAATATTTATTGTTTATTGGTTACAGTTATCCGAAAAACTAAAACCATAATATATATAGATTTCAGCCGCTAGAAGAAACTGCAAAAATCTGTTAATAAACAGGATACTACACGTCACTCAAAAAGTTCCTGTGTGAGTATAGTATGCACTTAAAACTTAACAGTAAATAACAATTAAAGACATACAAAATTTTTATAACATACGAGTATATTTTGGGTTGGTTTATTTTGGAAACATCGAAGACTAGTTGCTAATAAATTTTGCCATTGAAATCAAACTTATGTGTTCTTAAACATTTTGTGTTTTTAATAACCATATTTGTATGTATATTAATATTTGTACCATATCTGTACTGTACACTGTATTATGATGTAAGTTATTCCTTTAAAATACTCAAACGTAGTGATAATAAGGAATGGCTACAAACGCGAGCGCATCATCTAAATCCTCTAGTACTTTCTAGTACCAATAGTTTATGAATTAAACAGGGCAGACGGGCATGGCGCAATTATAAGGGTTCCTTGTTTATAACGGAAGCATGTTTTTAATTGAATATAAATATATAGGTAAGTATCTAATATTAACCCTTATTAACACAACAGCAAATCTTGTAATCGCTACCTACGAAGCTAATTTTTCTAATTTTATTATTCTCACATAATATCTTAATACGCAAATTCGTAATTTAAGAGATAAGAGTATTTCTGATAATATTGTTTACAAGTTATTGTTTTAGTACTTATATACTTATTAGTGACATCAATTTGGGTGTTTTATTTATATGTTTACTTATATGAATACCACAACCTTATTCTATTTAACAAAAAACAACTTTTAGAGAAATAGCAATAGAGCTTATTTAAGTATAGAAAGAGAGATAGTACGTAGTACCTACTTTGGTTAAAATTGCGAATATTAAAATCACTGACCATAATGTGTCTATAAGCAAATTCAACTTCGAGAAAGAGATTTCTCATCAAATCCAGCTCGGATGAGCAGCATTCGTGAAGCTGTGAAGTAGATTCAGTGGCATCCATGTTATCTAAGTGTCTCAAGACGAAAATCTTTGACCACTGGTGACTTGTGGAAGCAGAACGTGGTCGTTTACCGAGCCTCATAAGTACGTTCAAGGTCATAACAGCTTAACGCTTGGTGTTTCTCTACGTGTTTGTATAAGGCATGAATAGATTCATCGGAAAACCAACGTTACTGAAATATGGCTAGAAGAACCGATGGCTCTTAGGGCGTAAAGGTTCTGGATTGGCAAGCACTTACTGGATGACGCTCAGTGGGCAGGCCCCCCGGCAGGTGAACCGATGATTTTATAAAGATTGCTCGGCGTGGCGATCCGTGGTCGAAGGAAGAATGTTGCTGAATACGGACTATTGTTTTATTATCAGTAATATTTACATGTATTTGTAAATTTTGTCAATAATATTCACAGTTTCTGTTCCAATGCATAGAATTGTTGGCCAATTATAAACTCGAATTGGTTCCTGCCCTTTGGTTATTAGCAAAGAAACTTTGAAGAACTAGACTTCATTGCAAAGTCTTAAATCCGTGTTTTAACGGAGGAACTCGAGAACGAGATAGTAAATTTATAAAGAAACGTACAAAAACGTACAAATCTCTCTATTTTATGTAGAGCCTATGTGAATGAACGAAGTATCTACGACCGTTGGGTCTATTTATTGTATTAATTAAGGAGAGGACACGAATTGTAATCTATTCTTGACAATCGTAAATT